TTCCCAATGCACTGCACTGCTGGAGATGTCAGATTTTGGATGAGCCATTCTGGTAAAGCCAAGTTATCTATTAAGGTGGTTCATGTAGAAATAGAAGCAAGGTGGCACGACTGACAGAAGCACCACAGCTCACTCAATGTACTGCTCAATACTTCACTAACTAACACAATGATAAAACTCACTGTTCAGCTCAACAGTTGTACGTGTATCTGACCAACTACAGGTTGGTTGCCATGTTCACGTGCGTAACAACAGTGCATGGGCTGAAAACAACACATTTGGCAATGATGTCTCTCAGGGCATGCTGAAGACACGCAGAGCAAGTGAGAAATTACTAACAACATGAGTTTTCACTTCCTTCACTGAGTAGGAAACTCCTCTCCCAGATCAAATGCCTGTCTTGCACCTCATCGATTTTTAAACTTTCAAGTTGAACAGATGGGGAGCAAAGTAGGCTGTCCAAATTACTGCTACACTGGAAATTCACACCCATGCAAGTCATTAGTCAATGTGCATACCAAAAGCTTTTTGCATTTATATGTAGTGTCTTTAATAGAGTGAAGAATTTAAGATGCTTTGTAAGAGAGCAAGTAGACAGAATTTCATCCCAGCCAAAAAAGATTAGATGACTAAAAGCTCAGTCAATGAGTTAGGTTTTATGCAGTCTTGAAGGAAGAGACAGGTGGACAGGCAAAGCATTTGGGGAGGAAATACCAGAACTTATGGCTCAGGAGACTGAGAACACAGTCGATGACTTTATATTTCACACACATAATTTTATCATCTATGGTCTAATAGTTTCTGGACAACCTCCTTGAAATACTATATGAGTCCTTTCGCTTCATAAGATTAAAGTGATTTCCAGTTCAAACTCAAGGACAATCTGATTCAAACATCAATTTTTCAGTGATGAAATGAATAAAGACTTCAATTTAATTGTGTGTTAAGTCAAGAAATATACAGTTCTCGTACCAATTACACCAGAGGCGCATTACTGCTCTTGGTAAAGTGTCTCACCAGCCACCTTTATAGAATCATAAAAACAGAAGTGCACAACAAAATGAATGGTCAGCAGCTGCATCCACAAAGCAGTACCTGGTTGCTCAAAGAATTTTGAAATGCTAAAAATTTTAAATTCCTTTACAGAGATTCAGTCTGGAACATTAACTCATTCTGTGATTTTTTTTCTTTCCAATGCAATGATTCTCAACTGAAGGAAAACATTTGGCTTGTGCGTTTGAGGGGAGGGAGGCAGGGGGCAGCGAGTGGAGTGGTCACAGTAAATAGTCCATGAAGGGTGGAACCCTTATATACCTGGGATCAAGAGGTGACAAAGGTCAATACAATTTATAAATTTTCGTCAAAAGAGCATAAAATTGGAATGGGGTGTGAAACTGGGCAACCAAACCAGAAAGGACTTGCCCCTCACTGGAGGGTTAGATTAAAATTAGTGCTTAACAATTCAGATATTACCCTTTGTTGGTTTATAAAGAACTGTGCCTGAATAATTCTGCTCAAGCCAAAATCTCAAAAGAGAAATATTGTGGAATGCAATCCATAGCCACTAATTATTGTTGGATTAGAGCTTGCCACCTTCCTGGAATTAGCCTCATTTTAGCATTGATTGTATGCTTCTGTTTAGAACTAATATCACTGCATTCAGGGGCAGGAACCCTGTGTCATTTTAAAGGTCAGCATTCTATTACTTAATGAAGGGAAAAAAAACAATTCCCTTGTTGGACAGCACAGAGTTTCCCAAGATAGCAGTGAAAGCCTTGTCAGACCAAGACAGGTGAGACGAGTGTGAACAGAAAATACCCAAGGAGAGAAAATGGAAAGGCAAATTATAAACAACCACACAGAGCCAAAAGTTTGACAATAATTCAGTCATGTCTGAATCTCTTCATAAGGAGGTAAGATAATTAAACCAATGAGAAATCACTCGAAGAATCACCAGAATTGCTACAGCACAGAAGGAGGACACTCAACCCTTCAAGTCTTCCTGATTCTCCACTCATTCACTCCTTCCCCCCCCACCATGGTCCTGTATTTTTGTCCTCCCTCAGATGCATTACAATTTCCAGCCTGAAAGTTACAATCAAATACGCTCAATTATCACACTGGAGTATTGTACACAGCTTTGGCCTCCTTACTAAAGGAAGGATATATTTGCCATGGTGTGAGTACATTTAAAGATCACAGACTGACCCCTCAGTTGGCAGGGTTCTCTTGTGCAGGGGGCATTGAGCAAACCAGGCCTGTAACCAGGCTTGAAAGGGTAGCCATTAGCCCTGGTTGAAGTGTCTGGAACCAGCAGCCGTGGTCTAAGGATTAGGTTTAGGCCATTCAGGACTGAAGGGAGGAGGAATTTCTTTACTCAGAGGGTGGCAAATTTTGGAATTCTCTATCCCAAATAGTTGTGCAAGCTGAGCCTTTGAGGATGTTCAAAGCAGCGTTCAACAGATTTATAGGAATGAAAGACATAAAAGGGAAAATGGCTAGTGGTAGATGTTTAACCATGATCTAGCTGAACAGTGGAAGAAACTCAAGGGGCTGAATGGCTTACTCCTGATCTAAAATCCTATAATCCTACATTGTCAGGTAATGCATTCCAAATCATGTGCATAAGATTTTGTTGCCAATCATTTTAATTTTGTGTCCTCGGCTCATAAAAACAGTATCTCTACTTACTCATTCTAGTTCCCTCCTATCTTTGAACACTCCAATCAAATCTCCCATCAACCTCATCTTACCCATGGAAAACACCCTCAGCTTCTCTAACTTATCCATGTGGCTAAAGCCTTTCATCCCTGGAACCATTCTAATAAATCTTTTCTGTCCCCTCTTAAAAGTTTTGACATCTTTTTTAAAATGCAGTGCCCAGAATTGGAGACAACTGGAGTTGAAGCAGTGACTTGTTAACAATATTGTGCTGAACCTTAAACAAAACTTTGACGTTCTTTTTTGGTCTGGCATCATTTTCTCTCGACCTGCCAACAGTGTCATTAGAACATAAATCAAAATGAAGGAGTGCATTTTACAAACTGCACACTTTGGAATAATATAATTAAACATTTATTAAAAGATTGTCTTTTATGTTTTTGAGTATCTTCATAAAAATTTTTAATTCAAAAGATTCAGCCTCACCTAAAAGGTCTAAGCACAGAATTGATATTTTTCCACTGAGGAATCACTGTCAGCTGAAGACAGGTGTCACACTTCATGTGTGTATAATTTTGAAGGACACATCAGCCATCCTTTTCTCAGTGTTTTGATTTGGGGATCCAAGTAAATCTCTTCAATGTATATGGATTTCTGTGATTTTCTGAACAGCTTGCAATTAGTCAAATTAATCATTCAGGTCAAATTTTCATATTTGTTGTTATTTTGTATTCAAGGAATATATCATTGTTGAAACCTTTCATTTTGGTAGAAACTTAGTCTGACATTCGCAGGACAGATTTTGAAACTTGGTCACTGCTAATGCCAATGGTGTTAAATTATGTTGATAAGCTGTTTATGGAATTACAGTTTTTACTGGGGGCATGCCTCAGGTAGTAGAAGACTAAGGGAGAGATGAAGAGGGATGAGGTTGCTAGTAATATACAATACTACTAGCAGTAGTATTAAAATATACAATACTACTAGTGCAGTATTAAAAAACATATCTATCCTATAATAACATAATGACTCCCTGTGCCCCATAGGGGAAGTGGCAGAGTTGTCCTAATGTCACTGGGCTAGTATTCAAATCCCCAGCTTAACTATCTCGGGACATGGCAGATGGTGAAAATTTAATTCAATAAAAAGGTAACCATGTAATCATTGTCAACCGTCATGAAGACCATCTGGTTCACTAATGTCCTTTAGGGAAGGACATTTGTCACCCTCGTCGAGTCTGGCCTACATGTGACTCTAGACCCACAATGTGATTGACTCTTAGCTGCTATCTGGTCAATTTACAATGGACAATAAATGCTGGCTTAGCCACTGACACCCACGTCCCATGAACATATAAAAATACGAACCCAGCCTAATCACCAGAGTGATTAATAAGTACCAAATGAATGCACTATTTACAATACTGTACTACTATAACCTCCTTGGTTAATAAAAGGGTCATACCCAGTACACAGCCTATATTTAGTGCAATTACAATGCACACAACCATCCTAACAGTGAAATTCTTCAAGATACAATCCTCCAAAACTAGCCTACCTAAAACTTGAAGTCCTGAGCTCTGATTATAGATCATTGATCTGAAAAGGTTAACTCTGCTCTTCTCACCACAGCTACTGCCAGATTCCAAAGTACACCCAGAATATTTCTGGATTTTCTAAGAGTGAGTTGGACAAGAGGTCTGTTCTCTGCCCATACATTGTTTAACAACAGCAGATTCAGAATGACGTCTTTGTGTCTGCGTAAGAATCACATTATACCTTACTAATTGCAACTAAGCAAAATTGTCCTCATCTATTATCGCGAACTCTACAAATCTGACTGTGGTGACTCCCAGGTCACTACTGCAGGGTTCTGGTTTGCAATCAGTTATTTTCCTGATCTTTAAGTGGTCTGAATCACTCCCAGACCCCTGGTTCTGGACACTGGACTTATATATGGAGATATGAATGAAGAGGCAGTAGACAGGTGTTTAAATGAAAGAAAATCTCTGCATTTACTTAAGGTACAAAAGGTAACTATAGACAATAAATAGCTTTTGCAGTAAATCAAGGAAATTAACACAACAAACAGGAGAACAGTAGTACTTTAAAAGTACACTATCAATTACATTACCACTATTAGACATTATGTTACTGACACACAGAAAACAGTGTTTAATTTTAGACTCAGATTTCCTACCAATATGGTCCCAATATGTACTGTCACCAGCTGCCTTCCCCTCCCTGCTGGCTAGGTTGGAACTTTGGGGTGTCAGGAGTTTATGCCCACCACTCAGAATGCAGTTTTGAAATGCATCTGGCTGTTCTAGCTTGTCGTACCTGGAGCCTGGATGAAGACTTCGGACTGCATAGGTTTTTCTATTTGGGTTGAGTCTGCTGATGCAGTAAGGTTCACTTCGGACTTATCTGGCGAGTACCCAATTTTCTTCACCTTTGATGGGTTTTGCAAGCGGGCTTTTATCTTCGGGTTTGTTGGCATCTGGTTCGGATGGTCAGGCTCAGTGGTTGAGGTTCCTGCCGGTGTCCTCTGTTTGGAAAGACCCATGTTCGGAAGCTCTTGTTGGGATTGCTTGGTTAGCATCCCCCTCTTGGATGTCTTTTGTGCTGACGAGACCATTGGTTCAGTTTCCCTGTTCCCAGTTTGGCCTCTGTGATTCTTAGTTCTGAAGGTGCTTGTGGGGAAAGCCTGTTCATGCAGAAGCTTGGAATAAAAGGCTCCCCTTCAGGTGAGGTCGGGGCTGGCAGTTATAGGCCATGCTATCTACGCACTAAATCTGTAATTTCCATTGTGCTTGTGATATTCCCTTCTGGAGGTTAGTTGGCTTTCTGATGGTTAGAGTATGTGTGAATGGGTTTTGATCATGGTTGAATGTCAAGTATCTCTGTAGGCCCCATACTGTCTGCAAGATGCAGCCCAAGGTATAAAAGCTGTCTCTGCCAGATGCTGCCTGGGTCCTAATTGTCTGCCTGGGGTTCCAACATCTGCAGTTTTTTGTGTCTCTGGCTAGGGTCTGTTGGTTTTGGTCAATTGTTCTCTTAGAGAGGAGATGTGAATTTGGGATTCCAGGCTGAACAATAGTTCCAGACAGCAATCTCTGTTCTGCTGGTTGTGTTGTGTATTTCCTGCAGAACACAGTCCAACTGCCCCTTTCCTTTTAAAAGTTTTGAAAGTCCAGGGTTCTGCCCAAAAGTCCAGGGATTTGTCCATATGTTTTAATATTGGGGATTTTTGCCTCATCTTACACTACTGACAATTTGCCAATCAAAACGGTAATAACTGGCACATCATTTTCATTTGGCCAGGACATTGGGAGAACCCATACACTCATTTAATCTTCGATAGAAATCAAAACACAAAAGTTGCAACATATTCTCTATCATTGCATCTGCATTAGAAAACACAAGACCACAATAACATAACAAATAGGAGCAGGAAACAGCCTTACCAACCCTCTAACCTACCTGCCCCCAATTCACATCCCCATGAGATCCACAAATCTCTTGGCTCCAACAGACCCCAACAATTACTTGACCTCAGCCTTATATTTCCTAACAACAATGCATCCACAGCCTTTCGGAATGGAGAATTGTCAAAGATTCACAACCGTCTGAGTGAAGAAATTCTTCCTTCTGCACTCTTAAAACAATATTGTGCACATTAATTTATGGAAAAATTGTTACTGATTATGTACTTATTTTAGCACTATAAAGAATAGTTTAGGAATTTCATTCCTAAATATCACATGTATAAAGGGTTGGCCTTTCTCCCGCATTGTTATAGTTTGGCAAGTTGAAATGTACTCTAAATGTAGTGAATCTTTGTACCGTCTAATGTAACGCAAATGAGGTACAAGGATTCCAATCACTAAAAGATCTCATATGATTGTATTTCCTGTTCAAACTGTTAAACACAGTAAAAAGTCATCTCTAGACACATCATTGCCATATCACGGACCAGTGCAGAATGATCATGTCTCATGACCCCTGGACCACTAATGGCAACCCTATTCTAAAAGCAATAACTAAATGGTAAGATAGCAGAATAGTGAAGATGTAAAGGCACATTTATATTCATCTTGAAAGATACTGGAGTTTTAATGAGGAATGCAAGTAGTTGAACAAGTGGTAGCAGGCATGGTTGCCAACCTTCTGTGTCCTGTGATGCCACTGTTTAAAAAAGGAAGTAGACAAAAAGCAGGTAACTATAGGCCAGTTAGCTTAACTTCGATAGTGGGGAAAATGCTTGAATCTATTATTAAGGAAGAAATAGCAAGACATCTGGATATAAATTCTCCCGTTGGGAACACCCAGCATGCGTTCATGAAGGGTAGGTCATGTTTAATTAATTTGGTGAAATTCTTCGAGGAAATTACTTGCATGGTGGACATTGGGGAACCTGTGAATGTAGTATATCTGGATTTCCAGAAAGCATTTGACAAGGTGCCACACCAAAGGCTGCTACATAAGATAAAGTTGCACGGTATTACAGGTAGTGTATTGGCATGGATAGAGGATTGGTTGAGTAGTAGAAAGCAAAGAGTAGGGGTAAATGGGTGTTTTTCTGGTTGGCGGTCAAAGCTAGTGGTGTGCCTCAGGGATCAGTGTTGGGACCGCAATTGTTTACAATTTACATAGATCATTTGGAGTTGGGGACTAAGTGTGGTGTGTCAAAATTTGCAGATGACACTAAGCTGAGTAGTAGAGCAAAGTGTGCAGAAGACACTGAAAGTCTACAGAGGGATACAGATAGTCTAAGTGAGTGGGCAAAGGTCTGGCAGATGGAGTACAATGTTGATAAGTGTGAGGTCATCCATTTTTGTAGAAATAACAGCAAAATGGACTATGTTTTAAATGGTAAAAAATTGCAGCACCCTGCTGTGCAGAGGGACTTGGGCACCCTTGTCCATGAATTGCTAAAAGTAGGATTGCAGGTGCAGCAGGTAATTAAAAAGACAAATGGAGTTTTGTCTGCCATTGCTAGAGGGATGGAGTTTAAAAACAGGGAGGCTATGCTACAGCTGTATAGGGTCCTGGTGAGGCCACACCTGGAGTACTGTGCACAGTTTTGGTCTCCTTACTTGAAAAGGGATATACTAGCACTGAAGGGGGTGCAGAGTAGATTCACTCAGTTGATTCCACAGTTGACAGGGTTGGATTATGAGGACCGACTGAGTAGGCTGGGATTATACTCATTGGAATTCAGAAGAATGCAGGGAGATCTTATAGAAACATATAAGATTATGAAGGGAATAAATAAGGTGGAGGCAGGGAGGTTGTTTCCACTAGCAGGTGAAACTAGGACGAGGGGGCATAGCCTCAAAATAAAGGGAAGCAGATGTAGGATTGAGGTCAGGAGGAACTTCTTCACCCAAAAGGTTGTGAATCTGTGGAATTCCCTGCCCAGTGAAGCGGTTGAAGCTACCTCACTGAATGTGTTTAAGGCAAGGCTAGATAAATTTTTGAACAGTAATTAAGGGTTATGGTGAGTGGGCGGGTAAGTGGAGCTGAGTCTCAAAAAGATCAGCCATTATGTTATTGAATGGCAGGGCAGGCTCGAGGGGCCGGATGGCCTACTCCCGCCCCTAGTTCTTATGTTCTTATGTTCTTCTGTCCTTTTTTCTGAAACTCCTACACCAGAACAGACTGGGACAAAGAATAAATCTGGCCAGCATATTTGCAATGTATTTTCCATCATTTGTACCATAACAAGGTTAGATTCAGGGAAAGCTATTATTTCCGGTTGCTTAGCTTTTCTTTGTTATAGCTGCAGAAAGGAGCATTTCATGTTTAAATTCAGAACATTTGTTCAATTGATCATAGAGCAAATAATTACACAAAGTTCAAATTTTGGAAGTGAATTCTTTTTTCAAGTGAAATTACTTCTCCAGTTGCATGCAAGGCACTGACAAGACAGACACTGTCTCTATTCTTGAGATAACAAGGTGTAGAGCTGGATGAACACAGCAGGCCAAGCAGCATCATAGGAGCAGGAAGGCTGACGTTTCGGGCCTAGACCCTTCTTCAGAAATGGGGGAGGCGAAGGGGGTTCTGAAATAGATAGGGAGAGAGGGGGAGGCGGATAGAAGATGGATAGAGGAGAAGATAGGTGGAGAGGAGACAGACCGGTCAAACAGGTGGGGATGGAGCCAGTAAAGGTGAGTGTAGGTGGGGAGTTAGGGAGGGGATAGGTCAGTCCAGGGAGGACGGACAGGTCAAGGGGGCGGGATGAGGTTTGTAGGTAGGAGATGGGGGTGGGGCTTGAGGTGGGAGGTGGGGATAGGTGGGAGGAAGGACAGTTAGGGAGGCGGGGACGAGCTGGGCTGGTTTTGGGATGCGGTAGGGGGAGGGGAGATTTTGAAGCTTGTGAAGTCCACATTGATACCATTGGGCTGCAGGGTTCCCAAGTGGAGTATGAGTTGCTGTTCCTGCAACCTTCGGGTGGCATCGTTGTGGCACT